GGCCTCGATCAGATAGTTGTACACTTTGGGCAGAGAATCGCTGCCATCCTTTACAGGCAGCGCGTGGAGCTGCAGCCTGAAGAATCCAGTTCGCGGGAACCGGAGGTGAAAGTAAACCTGGGTACCCTTCGTTTGATGGAGAATCTGCAAGAAAATGTGCCTTTAGGGAGGGGACGAAGCTAGGGAACTAATAATACATCGGGGATTACAATTTAGACAGTCACTTTACTCCTCTCTCCCACACAGCATACACTTGTTTTGTCGCTGTCTTCTACTTAGATATTTATAATAAAATACTAAGAGTAGAAAAAGGCAAATTTGGAAATCTGCACTCAAAAGTTCGTGAAAGTAAATCAACCTATTTAACAGAAATTGTCTCCTTAGGTTTTAGAAATGGACGAACGCTCGTGAAAATATCCTTTGGACATAGCAAAAATCAGGCGCACGCCAGCCTTGGGCGGGGGGGGATCTGAGAAAAGAACTAATCAACTGAAATAGCTGCCCATTTTCAGAAATATGTTTAAGTTTGGAAGGAACGATTACTATGGCCTTGTAATATTGATAACCCAACAGCACAATATAATCATCTTTCAATCGTGTGACGCTACCGATTTTTAAATATGACTGCTTTCAGGCTCCCACTTGCCTGCGGAAAAACAAGCATGAGGCTCAAATGGTAAAATGAACCAAGTGTGCGTTTTCAAAGTTAATCCGCAGTAAAAAAAACCTTAGCTGATAAAACCTGAAATTTGAAACCTGAAAACAGAAATTTCGTTGGTACTTCGTTGGAGAATCGCATAAGTCCTAGCCTAACTCTCGGTCTCTGCGTTCTATTTTTCTGTATTTTACCTGCTCAGCCTACAAGTCTCTCCAATTGTACGTCAAATGTAATCAGTGACAATATTCTGACGACAATTACCGACAGTATAAATCTTTACTGACTCAGCTTGATTCCTACTGAAGCATCTCGAATGGCGGCCTACCATTGCGTTCGATCAGTGCCTGAATTCTAGCTGACAGGCAGGACCCCACGGAACAAAATTTCGTACAGATTTAGCATTCACGGTTATAGCTTTCTTCAATTGTCAAATTCGAAGTCTTAACAGAGATGGACGATTCAGCGGTAAAGACTGCGCGTCAGACTGCTGAAAATGAATAAGGAATTATCGATTGTGTTACGCAGAAATATTATGTCATTTCGTTTTCAACGCGTTTGATCAGGGCGAGATTATTTTCGGGAACGAGATGTACACAATCGACCAAATACTTCCAGGCCATGGATAACCTACAGTCAGTCAGTTGAATGTTAACGGAAATTCTGAAACGCTATTTTGATAAGAAGGACTACTGCAGTGGGATTTTGCTATATATTATTATGCAACAAAATTCCGTAGGGGTTCATGCATGCCAGAATGTCGGCTTTATGACGCATTACACTTCTAATGCCCATAAAAAACAAACGTGTCAAACAATGACTTCGTATGTTGTATGCAGTTTATCGATACATTTTCACTGTCCTGATAAATTAAATTGGATAAAACAGCAAACATACGTAAATGTATCATGTTTGTAATCATTCTGTTGTGGAGACGAGAAGTGCACGCTATGTGAGTCATGGCCGCAGGCCGG